TATTGTGTGCCTACTAGGTTCAATACACATTCAGGAGTGTTCTGAAAAGCATAATAGAAATTGATAGTAAAAAAATGACTAAATAAGTCTGTGTGCAGTGGCTCACGCCTTTGGGAGGCCGAGGTGGGTGGATCATGAGGTCAAGTGATCAAGACCATTGTGGCCAACATGGTGAAACCCCGTTACTACGAAAAATACAAAAATTAGCTGGGTGTAGTGGCATGGTACCTGTAGTCCCAGCTACTTGGGAGGCTAAGGAAGGAGTTTCGCTTGAACCCAGGAGGCAGAGGTTGCAGTGAGACAAGATCACACCACCGCACTCCAGCCTGGCAACAGAGTGAGACTCGGTCTCAAAACAAACAAACAAAAAACACCTAAATAGATTTATTTCGGAAATATAAAAGAGTGAATACAGAAGTTTGCTTTCCCTTTAAAAGCACCTCTAAAATAGCAGGAAAAATAAAACATGGATTCCCCAAAACAAAAAAATTTGGACAAAATTTTGGACATGGCAACCCAAGAGGGGCGAGGGATGAGGCTACAGGAGAAGGAATCAACCAGAAGAAGCAAACCAATTTATAGCTCAGAATACCCAGAAAGTGTCAGGAATTGAGGATGCCAGCTGTCTCCGAAGGCAAATTGAAAACAAGACAATCGATTCAAACTCCTTGTAAGGAGTAAGTAAACTGATAGGTCTTCTCATCAACCCTTGTGGCCAGGTAGCCAACTCTCCCTACCCCAGCAGAACACCAAAGATGTCCTTCCTGGAGACGTGAACAGGTGTTCCAGACCTGAGAACACCAGACACAGCTGAGGTACCACAATTAAATGAGGAAACTAAGCAAAAAATCACATCATAAGCAAAAGTCTGACCCAGCTCCACCTCCTTCTTTATGTCAATTCTCAGAAATACTGCATTGTCATTAAAGCTTAAAACTGTAGACAGGAGAGAGAAAACTAGTCATAAACAACAAAAAATAAGAATAGCATCATCTTCTCAACAGCAACAACAGCAGCTTGATCTCAGTTTACTCTGATTCAGTCCCACCCTCACATACCTCCAAATACTTAGTTCTGTGGCTCTGACTTCATGCGTAGAGTCCTGTAAACTACTGGTGTTTGCCTCTTACAGCATAGCATACCCATCTACCCCCTGTGACCAAAGAAATAGCTTTGGTTCTCATACCAAGCAGCAGCCTTAACAAAGGAAAAGACCAGCATGGATTGTGGCCCTACATCCTCTATTCTTTGGATAGTACTTACTCTTAATTCCCTGTTTTCCTCTTTTGATTATAACCTAATTGGCAACCATAGCAGCCAATCCCAGACATGTTCCTGATTCCTGCAATGTAGCCAAAGGCTGATTTCATCACATTCTCCTTTTATTTTTGCTGGTGATAGAAGGAGCAATTAGATCATGAGCTTGGTTTGATGATTAAATAAACAGTTTGGTGACAGAGTGGCAACCTTCCAGACCTGCAATTGCCATGAAACTGCAGACACAGATAATGAACCTGGGGTGGAGTTGCTTGGTTCAGAGACCATAGACTGGATACTAGAACATCGGTCTTGATTTCCCTTTCTTGGCTGCATTTAGGGGCTAGATGCCAGCTCCTCCATAACTATGTAATGGAGACAAGAAGGTGATACACAGAAAGTCCACCATAGTTTATGGAGCCTACAGAAGCCAGGATGCTTGACACACACTGTAATCCTGTTGTTACAAGTATTCTTTTTATATTGGAGGAGGAGGAAGAAGAGGAGGAGATTAAATTTTAAAAAGAATAATTTCATCTCTTTAGGTGAGAAAATGGAGAAGATGATTACATTTGCTTTCAGCAAACCAATGGAAAAGTCAATTCACATGATCTTAAAAGGAAAATGAGAAGCTAATTCTTCTATACCATGAAGAATTTAAGAAATATAATTCCTAAGGACTCACAGGGATACAGCCCTGGTTCCTGGACTTCATGTTTTGGCTTGGTCTTTCTGCTTTTTTAATTTTGCCATTGGTAAGACTGGCCCCACGTCACCCATGAGGAGGAAATTTGCACATTTTCAAGGTTAAAATGCTGAGTTATTAGAAAAAGTGGTGTTACTAACTGAATGGCAATAGAGAAGCAGCAGCAATTGAGGGAAAGGAGATGATAAGTTTGTTTTGGGGCACGATCAATTTGAGATATCTTGCTGAACATTCAGATTGAGGTTCTTATGAGCCCTGAAGATGTCACAAATTAACTAGAAAACAGATCTGCCAGGCAAGGTGGCTCACACCTGTAATCCCAGCACATTGGGAGGTTGAGGCAGGCAGATCACTTGAGGCCAGGAGCTCAAGACCAGCCTGACCAACATGGCAAAACCCTGTCTCTGCTAAAAATGCAAAAAAAATTAGCCTGGTGTGGTGGCAGAGGCCTGTAATCCCAGCTACTTGGGAGGCTGAGGCCGGAGAATCGTTTGAACCTGGGAGGTGGAGTTTGCAGTGAGCCAAGATAACACCACTGCACTCCACTCCAGCCTGGGCAACAGAGTAAGACTCTGCCTAAAAAAAAAAAAAAAAAAAAAGAAAGAAAAGAAAAGAAAAGTGGGATTTGAGCTCAGGGCATCAATCAAGCTTAGTCTGGTGGATTTGATTAGAGGATAAAATTAAAGCCATAATCTTTGATAAAACCATCAAGGGATAAGGTGAAGAGTTTAAAAAAAAAAAGAAGGCTGTTTCAGTCAGGGTACAGCTAGATTATGCTACAGTAACAACTCCAAAATCACAGTGACTTATACATCACAGGTTTATTTCTCATTCATTCTTTATGTCAAGAGCTATGAGTTCTGCTCAGCATCATTTCACCCTGGGATTTGAGCTGAGGAGCAAACCACCCACCTGGAACACTGCTAGTTTCTACAGCAGAAAAAAGGAGGATCTCACCCTGGCAATTAAATGTCCTAGCCCAGATGCGACAGACATTATTCTGCCCCTATATCAAAGGCCAGGAGTCATCACATGGTCCCACTCAACCACCAAGGAGGCAGGAAGTGTCATCCAACCATGAGTCTGGAAAGAGGTGTGCTACCATCAGAGTCATATTAGTAACTACCTTAAGGCCCAGGACAGAATTTGTATAAACATGCTGCTTCAGAGATGCAAGAACTTACAGCTAGCATAGAAAGAAGATAATAAAAGAACCATCAGACATAGGAGGAGGACCAAGAAAGCAAACCATGGATAACCAGGATGAAGAAGAGACAGTGAAGAAAGATGCAAGCGATCAACGCAGAAGTTTCTGATAGGAAGGGGCACCAGGCACAGTAAGACAGATTTAAGAAGGCCAACCAGCTATTTCATGAGGGGAGCTTCAAGATGGCACTCATTGCCTTGATGAATTTCTCAGGATCACAATTTCTTTGCCTCGGCCCAATCCTAACACCACATCTAACCTTAATTATTATGATAATTAAGGTTGCCTGTTGCCACTGAACATTCTAAATGTCTAATCCAAAATTTCTTGCTCTGATTTCGTTCGTATTAAGCAAACTATTGCTTTGGTTTGGCTTCCCTTGAATGTCTATCTTCAGTAAGAGAAAGTGTCAGTCATACAGATTTAGAGGATTTCAGACCATATGACAACTCTAAGGTTAATTGGGTAAGTTTAAAACCCAGTATTCTGATACTTCAGAGTGATGAATTTTGTATATTTGAGTCTCCTTCCAAATGGTTCCACCCTGAATATGCAGGCAAATGTAAGGCCCATGAGCCTTATGTGTAATATCTGATATTTCTATGAGCATCTAGCAGCAAAGAAAAAGCCAATACAGGCAATTTCCTATTGAAGAGAGACAGAGGGAAGAATAAAAGGGAGAATTCAAGAAAGGGGAGAGCTGGATAACAAGGAATTAGGAAGTCAATGAAACAGGGAAAACAGAGACCATGGAGTAGAGACTGCAATTTCAGACATTTAAAGAGTCTGGTGACCTTTTTGTTTTTGCTGAATTTAAAATAGAACTGCAGGCCCAGCGCGATTGCTCATGCTTGTAATCCCAGCAGTTTGGGAGGCCGAGGCAGGCAGATCAGTTGAGGTCAGGGGTTCAAGACCAGCCTGGCCAACATGGTGAAACTCTATCTCTACTAAAAACACAAAATTTAGCTGGGCATGGTGGCAGACACCTGTAATCCCAGCTACTCAGGAGGCTGAGGCAGGAGAATCAATTGAACCTGGGAGGCAGAGGTTGCAGTGAGCCAAGACTGTGCCACTGCATTCTAGCCTGGGCAACAGAGCGAGACTCCATCTCAAAAAATACATTAATTAATTAAAATAAAATGGGACGGCAATTGTTAACAGACGACAAAGTGAGTATAATTTGGCAAAAAATTAAGGTTATTGATGGCGGGATAAAATACCAAACCTGAATACATGCCAGAAGCCAAATGTGTATCAGGTTTTTCTATTTCTAAAAATAAGAATGCTGGGAATTGCTACATAAATTATATTCGGGCAAGATTATATACTACAATATTGTATACAATATGCATTATAGTATAAAAAATTATAACATGTTCTAAAATGATACGCTTCAGTCATCAAAACTAGATTGTTAGCAATTATTTCATGACACAGGAAAAAAAAAGATGGCCTCTATATAATGTTTAGGGTGTAAAACAGCAGGATTTTTCAAAGTATGTGCACTATTTTATCAGCTTTGAAAAGTAAAAAAGACTGGAATATCTCAAGAATGAGTATGGAAGTGTTAGTGTGGTTATGACTGATTTTTACTTTATTCTTTATACTTTCCTGTGATATTCAAATTTTCTATAATGAACATCAAGTTCTTTTATGATAATGTAAATCATATAGAGAAGCATGCTTCCATTAGCAATTCTGTTTTCAATTATTTTTGTTATATTGGAATTAAAAACTCATTTGATACATTAAATGTAACATTTTTAAATGCTGAGGGTATATATACTCCCAACTGCTTTTAAAATGAAGTTGTAATTAGATGGAATTAAGAGAATTGAGACTAGAAAAGCTCTCTGAAGGTAATAGCAAAACACAAAATGCCCTATTTCAAATACTGTAAAATACTCTATGAATGGTAATCTTTGGGATGTATTTTACAAAATTTCACACATATATATTAAAACTTGACTTTAGATCCACTCATAGGTTTTAATACAAATAAGCAAACCAATAACGAAGATAAGATTATAGAGGCAACAGTGCACCTGCTAAGGAAAATATACTATTTTCTTTTTTTTTTCAAGACGGTCTCACTCTGTCACCCAGACTGGAGTACAGTGACACAATCACAGCTCACTGCAGCCTTGACCTCCAGAGCTTAAGTGACCCTCCTACCTCAGCCTCCCAAGTATCTGGGACTGTAGGCACAGGCCACCAGGCCTGGTTAATTTTTTTTTTTTTTTAAGGGACAGTGTTTCACTATTTTACCCAGGCTGGACTCAAACTCCTGGGCTCATGTGATCTTCCTGCCTTACCCCCCTGACATGTTAGGATTACAGGTATGAGCCACCACCACACTGGGCCTATACAATTTTCAAAGAGTGGAGTCATCCATTACATATCTGTAACACATGTGTTAACAATTAATATTCTAAGTATAGTTCTAAGCTCCATTTGGTAACACAGAATAAATGGAGGGTTTGCTCACATCTGATGGATTTGACTTTCTCTGTGAAGACTGAGGCAAGATCATCTGAGCGTAAGGAGGCAGTGTGAAGTTCGGAAATTAAGGAAGGTAGAGATGCTTAAGGTAGCTTTGCAGAGAATAGGAGAGGCACTACCTGAGTGAAGGAATTCCAGTTGGACAGGTCCAGAAGGTGAGTGTCTGAGGAGGCCACAGATACGGAAATGAGAGCATAAAAGTCAGCTTGAAACATCAGCCAGAGCCAGAGGGCATGTCCACCAAACAAATGTTAGAGGATTCCCATGCCTCAAAGGCTGAGACCTACCTGTGGATGATTGAGATGATTCATGTATTTAATGATACTAGCAGAATTATCCCTGCAAGCAAGCTGGACTCCTAGGATGCAAAGAGAAAATAACTTTATTCTTCATCTCCAACTGGCCATTTGAATCCTCTTTTGGGACAGTTCTTTCCCTCTCTGTAACTTCAAATGAAATAATAGAAAGGTCTTTGGACTCTGATCATCTCAGATAATAAAATGTCCTCTGGTCACTTCAGTTCCAAACCACCACCTCACGTTATAAATTAATCTGCCCAGAAACTCCCAACTTCATTGCAGTCTTGATGAAGCTTTAGACTAACAGGCCTAGAGTGGGGAATGAGATACTCATTTCTATGTTCCCTGTAATGCTACTTTTCCATGACTCTGACTTTGTTTCCCCAGCACTTAGCTACCAATGTGTCCTCCAGGATGGGAAGCAGAGATGGCAGGAAAGGAAGAAGAAGAAAGGTCTTATTTGACCTACATACATATAAGTTGGTGTAGCTGCCCTCTGGCTCTGGCTGACATTTCAAGCTGACTTTTATGCTCTCATTTCAGTATCTGTGGCCTCCTCAGATTCTCACCTTCTGGACCTGTCCAGCTGGAATTCCTTCACTCAGGTAGTGCCTCTCCTTTAATCAGCTGTTTATTATCTCCCTCTACTTCTCTGTATAGTAAAACCTTCAACCTCTTTTTGTCAAAGACACGCCATCCATTACAGGAAGCCCTCTGGGTTAGAATTCCTTTTAAAACAACTCAGACTCACATTCCTACTGTGGATTTTATTTGGTCCCAGGAAAAACGCAGCTTTGGCCTGGCATAGGCCAAAATGTGCTTACTTCCTAAATGCAGCCCTCTGCTGTGCTGACACAGTTCACTTCAGCCAGCCTCTCACTCAAAGACTTTCTCTTTGGGTATGAGTCAATGCCTGCCTGTGTCTCCATGTTTCAAAAGATACCTATCAAGATCTCTTTGAAGTTCTCACATGGTGGAGGGTCTAGGGGCGCAGTGGTAAGGAGTGTCAAATAGAAAGAATTCACAGCTAAAGGTAAAGTACAGATCACAAAACCTGTTTTCATGCAGTTTCTTTAGAAGTCATTGATAGATGGGCTAATACTTCGCCTTGGAATTTGACAGTATTTGGTATCTTTGGTTTTGGGGCCTCAGTGAAAACTAGAAGGAAGAGTCCTATTTTAACTCTGTCTTCCTTCTATGCAATTTCTCCAGTACTACTTAGCCTCCTAGTAGAAGAGAAAGATGGTTGGGTTCAAGTTGTGTCAAATAGAAATGAAAAATAGAGCAACCGGGGCTTTGGGCTCTGGCAAGGGTGACTGAATCGATGCATCACAGAATCAAACTGGAGAAGGAAGAAAGGGAGAAATCAGTGGCTTAAAGGGCCCAGGAGGTTGGAGAATGTAGAAGAAATCGTTGAGTCAGCATTCTGGAAAGATACTATAACAGCTGATTGGCTAAAGGAAAGGGAGATGAGAAACAGTGGAATGGTCTTTGGGGTATGGAGCCTTATGGATCAGACAGGTTATGGAATCATTCACAGGATTAGAGTACCGGAGAGGGGAACTGGTTTTCAGGGCATAATGATGAACAAACTGAACAGGAGAGGATAATGAGACGTCTAAGTGGCATGAAGGGCTGACCATCAGAAGAACCACAAAATTCAAGGTATGCCTTTCAGAGTGAAGACCAGAAACAGTATTGGGGTTCAGGATTCAGTGACTTCTCAAAAAAGAAAGTGTGAAGACTGAAATGCAGGGGTTAAGAAGCATCTTGTTAAAGGAAAGGGTATAAAGAGAACCCGTTAACACAGAAGAAATGGAGTTATCTGTCATCTAAGACAAAGAGCTGCATCTGAGTCAATGATCTGCTCTGAAAAGTGCTTCATCCAAAAATATATTCTCTTTTTTCCCAATCATCTTTATTGTCTGGTTATGCAACTAAATCTTCTACCTCTTAAGCCTCAGGTTCCACATCCATAAAATGAATATATTAGTATCTATCTTCCATGGCTGTGGTGAGAATATAGTGAGGCAAGGAGTTATTTGCCTATATATAGGCACAGAGTACAAACTCAACCAACGTGAGCTACCCTTATCATTGTCATTATTATTATTTGTCAACTTCTCTGTTTAATCAATAATCATTCCTTTAAAAGATGATTATCTCAAACTTACTTCCAAATACTTTGCCATTTTTTTCTCACTTCACTTAGCCTGTCTGACGCAAATGGCAAGGGGAAAGAAAGAATGACTCAAACATCACAGATTGGTATTACCCTGGCATGGTTAAGATAAGTATGTTGACAGCAGGATTCTAGTTTGACTCTCAGGTCTGATATTCAGTGGTTACTATTTCCTTTTAGGGACTATGCTTAAGGTTTGGAGACATTGCCACCATCTAGATGATGGTTGCTCAATTGTAACGTTTATTTTCTGTATAAATTTTCTATTGCTGTGTATCAAATTTAATGGCTTTAAAATAACACCCTATGTATTAGCTCACAGTTCTATCTGAAATCTGGGCACTGCATGTATGAAATCAAAGTATATGTTGTGCTGTGGTTCCCTGGGGTTCAAGCCCCTCCTAGAAGCTCATAGTTGTTAGAATTCAGTTCTTTGTGGTTGTAGGACTAAGGTCTCTATTTTCTTACTAGCTGTTGGTTGGGGACCTGTCTCCGCTCCTAGAAGCTGCTCCTCTCCATCAGCAGTTCACTACATAGATGTATGGTTTCTTCCAGGCCAGCAATTAACATTTCTTTCTGATTTCCTCCTCTGCTACCAGTCACAGAAAATGCTCTACTCTTAAAGGACTCACCTGATTGATGCAGCCCACCCAGGACAACCTCCCTTTGCCATATAACATCATAATTAAGAGAGAGATACCTCATCAGATTCCTGTCTTCCACCCACAGTCAAAGAGGAGGGGATTACACAAAGGTAAGGATCATTGGAGGCCATCTTAGAATTCTGTCTATCACATTTACTTATCGAACAGCGTTTATGACCTAGGCTCTGTAGGGACAAAGATAAATTACAGTTGCCTTTGAGATGTTCATGCTATAGTCCAGCACTATCAAATACAGAAGCTATTAACTACATGTAGCTACTGAGCATTTGAAATGTGATTAATCTGAATTGTGCTGTGCTGTAAGTGTCAAATGCACAGAGGATTTCAAAGAATTAGTACCAAAGTGGACTGTATAATATCTCTTTAATATTTGTGTAATGACTACACACTAAAGTGTAACATTTAGGATATGTTGATTTAAATAAATTATTAAAATTAATTTCATCTGTTCTGTTTACTTTTGTAAAGTGTCTACCAGGGAACTTCTAATCACATATGTGGATTGCATTATGTTTCTATTGGACAGTGCTGGTCTAGACCAAGAAAAACAATAATCACTTCAAAGTGTACTACATGCCATGACAGGAGAGGCCAATGGTGTTTTGGGGTCACAAGAGAGAGTGGTCAGTTTAGCTGGGGAAGAGAGTGAAAAGAGGAAAGACTTCAACTGCTTCCCTTTAATAGCAGACAAGGTACAGCATGATTTTCTATGCAAAAATCCTTTCCCAAGAGATAGAAATTATTTATACAAAACTGCAGAGTAATTCCTAGAGGCTTTTAATTTTAGAAGGCATAATTCAGAACAAAATTTTAAAACAAATACAAAAGCCCAAATGTACATCAGCCCTTCTCTGACAAACCTTTAACTGTTGTGCCTCTGCCTGCACCTTTCTTTTCACTTGGACACCAGCAGACACAGCTAATTCCCTCTCTCCAAGCTATTTTATAGGGTCAGAAGCTTCCAGTTGCTCATCACTGAGAGCAGCCTATCTTCAAAATTCCCCATTGGCAGTGATTCTCTGGCTCTTGATCTCTCCAATAGAGGGCAGCTATTACCAGCTTAATTGGAGAGTAATTACCTTCTTGGCCCTCGCAATTAGTTCAAAGAGCTCTCTTTGGCTTCCCAGCTTATGACAAATCAGAAAAAGAAAGAAACATTGAAATGTGATCTATGCAACTTTTTTCTATAGTGGCTTTTTGTCCCATTGTGAGTTGCTCTATCAGTTTTTCTGTTGTTGTTGTTGTTTGGACTAGGCCATACTTCCCATAAGGACCCATGTGAATATTTTGTACTCATTAAACAAATACTTTTACATGCAAATAGTTAATACTTGTTAAGTACATGCTATGTATTAGATGTCATGCTAAGTACATCATCTCATTTAATTTTTAGCTCAAAAAGGTAACAATAATAATATAAAACTGAAAGTTAGAGTGCTTGCTATATGCCAGATACTTTTCTAAACTCTTTTTGTGATAAAGTTAATTTAAGAAGTTAAGGCTCAAGAGTGCTAAGAGATGGAAAGTGCTAAGAACAGTGCCTAACACTAAGTATTCAATAAATGTTAATTAATATTTAATACTTGCAAAGATCATGTGTCATAAAAAACATTACTATCATTCCTATTTTACAGATAAGTAATCTGAGACTTAAAGACCTTAAGGTATTTGCCCTAGATCAGTTGTTCTCAGTCTTTAATGTGCCCCAAAAATCAACTGGAGGGTTTGTATAAAGACAGATTGCTTGGCCCCACCCGGAGATTCTGATGTAGTAAGTCTCCAGCAGGCCTTGAAGATTTGCATTTCTAACAAGTTTCCCAGTGTTGTTCCTGATGCTGTCCAGAGGATCTCACTGCTCTAGACCATTGATTTAATAAAGATTTTACCCCTGGCCAGGCATGGTGCCTTATGCCTGTAATCCCAGCACTTTGGGAGGCCAAGGTAGGTGGGTTACCTGATGTCAGGAGTTTGAGACCAGCCTGGCCAACATGGTGAAACCCTATCTCTACTAAAAACATGAAAAATAGCTGGATATGGTGGTAGGCATCTGTAATTCCAGCTACTCAGGAGGCTGAAGCATGAGAATCGCTTGAACCCAGGAGGCGGAGGTTACAGTGAGCCGAGATTGCACCACTGCACTCCAGCCTGCGCAACGAGTGAAACTCCCTCCCCCCGAAAAAAAAAATTCACTCCAGCTCTTCATACTCTGCAC